TCTTTATAGCCGAGGTCTTGTCTTACTCTGTTTTGTACTTTTGCACTCTTAACTTTAATCATGATGACTGTCACAGATCAGTTTTTCAAATATTTGGGGAACGAATTTATGTCCCTTAGCAATAAGAGAAAAATTAATAAGCATTCCAATAATAAATCTTGCATCTATTAAAATGTGTAATTAACAGAGGTAAATATGTGTTCCATTTTTCTCCCCACAGTCTCCAAACGTCCACAACTACCCCGATATGGAAGCCGTTCCCCTGTTGCTAAATAATGTGAAAGGGGAACCCCCGGAGGACTCATTATCTGTAGATCACTTCCAAACACAAACTGAGCCAGTGGACTTGTCAATCAACAAAGCCAGGACATCCCCCACAGCTGTTTCATCCTCCCCAGTTTCCATGACAGCATCTGCCTCCTCGCCTTCTTCAACTTCAACATCTTCTTCGTCTTCTAGTCGTCCAGCCTCATCACCAACTGTTATAACATCAGTATCTTCAGCATCATCTTCGTCAACAGTATTAACTCCAGGGCCCCTTGTTGCCTCTGCATCTGGTGTGGGAGGCCAGCAGTTTTTGCACATTATCCATCCTGTACCACCGTCAAGTCCCATGAATTTACAGTCTAACAAACTGAGTCATGTTCACCGAATCCCCGTGGTGGTACAGTCGGTGCCTGTGGTGTACACAGCTGTTCGGTCACCTGGAAATGTGAACAACACTATCGTAGTGCCGCTTTTGGAGGATGGGAGAAGTCATGGCAAAGGTAAGGGACACAGGCAAAGCCTTGGTTTATTTCAGCAGTGCAGGTAACTATTCCTTTATTCAGTGAGTGAACCTTAAATGGTATGCATATATATCCCATACATCCAAACAAGTTCTATACATGACACTAGTTTGTCAGCCATTAAGTAGAACACAGTTTTAGTAGCAACTAATCTTATATTTATGTAGGTATATGATTCAGTATTGCTTATTCTATATTTTTATTCATCAAGACATTTAATGTCCGAATTCAAATACCTAAATTTGCAAAAAAGTGTTTACTTTCAAATACCCAGATGGGAAGGACAGTCTGCAGCTAACATAACTGCTTGTGAAGTATAAACGCATAGATCCCTCATAGAAATGATCCATTATGAAATTTTTAAAAATTGAATCAAGGTGTTTCTTCTGCATTGTTCAGATCGGAGCTTATTTGGATGACAATTTAAGAATGCCATGAAGTTGTAATGCTTGGAAACTGGTCATTCACTTTTGAGTAACTTGTAAATTAAGTCGTCATTAAAATAATTTTAAAGTTAGGTGTTTGGCTAAAAAGTATCATGTAGCTTGAGTTCTTATCTTCAAATAAGTCTAAATTGTTATAATTTTAAATAGTAGGATGGTTCAGTATGATAGAAATATTTCAACATGTAATATTAAAATTCTCTTAGGGTTTAAAGACAGGAAGATACTTTGCTACATGACTGCATTTAATAATACCTAGTTAATTAATTATATATGATAGTTTGCAGCTGATCATGAAGTTATTTATCTACTTCTAAGTTCTTTTTAGTTTCCAATTTTTACTGGAAGGGGCTTGTAATAGCATTATGATGTTAATTTTTTTTCTTCCCATAAACCTAAAAAATAAGCCCCACTTCTGTCTATGGACATGCTACCCTGAACAAGCCTGATGTCTGATCTCGGAAGCTAAGCAGGGCTGGTTAGTACTTGGATGGGAGACCACCTAGGAAGACCAGGTGCCGTAGGTGTAAAAATAAAATAAAATTAAATTAAAAAATAAGGGATTGTAAACTGAGAAGGTCTTTGTAATCTGTGAGGTCAACCAAGGGTTGCCTCGCCTAAAAAAATAAAATATAGAAAAAATAAGCCCCCCTTCTTTAGAAATGTAAAATGCCCATGATCGTTGGTTCATTCCCTTTAAATTGAATACATATGTATGCATTTTGTCTTCAGAACCTAGAAATGATAATGGATTAGGATTTTATGTATTTTTTGCTTTGACTGAGGCCCAGAATTAAACTATGACTAATGAATACATAAAACACTTCTCATAAAAGGCTAATAAACATGGTTGTTTGGTTCTTGTATAAGATAGGCTTCAATGCATAGAAATAACATTTGATTGTGAACTTAGAGAAAATTTTGCAAACATATACTACAAAACTATGCATTCATCTTTGTCAAGTTATTGTTTATGAGTAGTGCTGTCAGTTTCTTCATAGCACATGAAATAAATTTCACCTTCCCAGTTTTACCAAGTGAAAAATCTCTTGACTCATAGCAGTCAGATATTTTAGACTGCAGTCTTGAGGTGCAGAGACTCTGTGCTTACTTCCTGACAGCTTCTCTCTCTCTCTGAGAGTGTGCTGTCATGGGCAAAGGCCCAGTACTTGTCCCACCACCCTCTTCATGAACAGGAAGAAGAAAAAGAGGGAATAGGGAGCCTTTTTGTGATTTCACTTGAGCTGATATTTACTTCTTTGATATTACTAACACTTCTGATTAAAAAAGAGCTAATAGATTTGAATAATAACATAACTGAAGGATACCTCAGGTATTTATTTTCTCCTATAATTATAGATGTTTTTATAATTTTTTAAGAATTAGGAATTAACAAATATCAAAAAACATAACCTTACATATTACATTATTTTATATGTGTGTACATGTGTATAGTAGAGAATATACCACATAAGGGAAATATTGCTTTTATCATGAAGTTGATTGATAAGGATTTTAACATTGTTACTGATTTTTTTTTTTTTTTTTACAATTTTGATGCACTAATGAAGAAAAAAGATATCTCTTTTATTTGCCATTATCATTTTTATGGGAAAGATTTTTATTTAAAGTGGATAATATATAAAGTATATTGCCAATTTTCTGGGAAATATATCTTTGCAGAAGAACTTTATTAAAACTCAGGCATGAGTATATTTGTTAGTAACATGCAGTGTTTTTTACTCAATAGTTTTCTCATAGTATATGATTATATAAATGACACATTTATATAATTTTAAACACACTGGACCGTGATGTGGACATTCAGAGATTTAGGATCAAGAATGTATGAGTTAGAATTCTAGTTCTCTCACTTACAGCTTTGGACTTAGGAAAGCTATTTAATCTCAATAATCTTCATTTTCTTCAGTGATAGATGGGATTAAGAACATCTGTCTTTGAAGATTATTGGGAAGATTAAGATCTTATGTGTAAATTTCTAGCATTGATCAACTATCCATAAATATTTGCAATTATTTATCATTATTTTCTCCCTCTGAAAATGTGTGGGGAGCCATAATGTCCAGAAATTTTTTCCCTTATAAAAACAGAAAGTTGGAGGGAAAAAAATTATTAAATTTAAAAATGAAAAACTGCTCCTAAGAAGCTCGTATAGAAATGCCTCTTAAAGTTATTACTATAACAGATTATAAGGGATAAAAGTTTAGTATAAGAAATTGTCTGGAAACATTCCATATTTTTTGGTTTTATTAGTTTATATTGTTTTTATAATCACCATATTCTACAGATAATGCTATAGCACTTTATAAGATTTTTTATTATTTAACTGATTAATTAGATGCTCGTAAAGTATCTAATGGAGGAGGCCTGCTTACCTTACAAAATGAATAAAGGAAAGGGCATTTCAGTAATTCCTCCAGCCTTTATTTGGCACATATACAGCTGGGCACTAGGCCAGCAGTGGAATGGCTGAGTGATAAAGGGAGCCCCTATTTTTATTCCTATTTAGGACTTGTATATCTGGTATAGATGAACAATAGAAAATATGGTAGGGGAGTTGGATCTTTTAAATGCTAGTAATAAAAATATAAAACTAATTCATATAAATGTAGATGGTTGTGCTGGCAAATTACTTTTAAAGTTGATATAACATATCTGGTCTCTGGTAGAGAAATAGATTGCTGGATGTCACATTACATGAATGACTGTGAATGTACACATCCACATCTAAGATAATGTATCATATGAATTGGATAATTTATCCATTCAAGTATTTATTGAGCATCTATCATGTATCAGGCATTTTCCTGGCACCAGGGATACAGTGTTGAGCAAAACAGATTCTGTTTCTATCTGAGTGCTTGTAGTCTATTAAACAACAAAAAAAATCGTGCAGTTTACTGGTAATAGCGAACAGAGTTGGATTAAAACATAGACCAGCTATGGATTTGCCCAAGGCATAGAGTTGAATTATATTTGCAGACAGAGAAAGTTGTAGTTGACAAAAGTATTTTCATGGTGTGTTATATATGGTCATAAGACATGTTTCTACTGTGATGCTCAGAGAAAGGGTGATTTGGGGGTGTGATGGGGTAACACTGCCACATGGGTATGTGGACTGATGACAGAAGGATGTGAAAGGAGGGTAGAATCTCAGCTCATCCAAACATTTAAAGAATATCGGCCTAAGGAAATGACAAGTTGTTAGCTAGCCCAAGGCACCAACATCTCAGTTGGGCCTCGAATGTGATATGCGACATGATGAAAGATGACCTGATCTTCTGGAAGGTACCGTAAACAAGCACATTGAGACTAGAGCTGTGAGAAGGAAGATGTCAGATAAGGTCTCTCAAGGGAGACATTTTTCTGCTTAATACCAAAAGGGCAAAGTAGCAGATGGACCCCAGAGTGGCAGTGCTGAGAGGTAGGAGGCTCTCCATGTGGAGACAGCAGCCAGCGGACTGGTCTGGCCCGATTTCATTACTGTATAACCTGGGACATGTTACTTGTCAACGAGACCCTGAAGAGAGGATTTTACCTTACAAAGGAATTTCAGTCCAGCTTGGGTAGATTTTGGTAGATTTCCCAGGAAATATTAATTAATTTTTTACAGAGAAAATGTTAGGGTCTAAAATCACAAGCAAAGTTGTTCTTGGTTTGTTATTGCTTCGATGGAAGACTGGGGTGTTTAGGATTCCCTTCCCTCTGTCCCTCCTATCCATCCATCCGTCCATCCATCCATCCATCTTTCCATTTCATCTGCTAGGGAGGTAAAAGGAAGAGTGTTAAAGAAAATACAGGCGAAACAAGTGTTTCAAGAAGGGAGTTATCAGTTTTTTCGAAAGCTGCTGAGGGGCAAATAAAATGAGGACTGAGAATTGGGCATTTAGCAAAGGCAGAGTTCATTGGTGACACGGTGCCAGTGGAGCAGCGGGGAGAAAGGGCTGACTGAAGTGAGTTTGTGTTCTGATGGGAGGTGTGAGGGGAGACTGCGAGCCTAGACAGCTCTTTGGAGTAGTTCTGGAAAGAGGTGTAGAGAAATGATAGCTAGGGAGACATTTAAGCTCTCAAGGGAGGGATTTTAAATGAGGGAGATAGCATATTTGTATTTAGTCAAGAATAGTCCTGTAGATAGTTGAAAATTGGTAATTCTAGGGAGGGCAGAATTGTAGAAGCAAAATTCCTAATTGCTCGTTAGTTGATTATATTATACTGTGGAAGTAACCTGCATCTTGCAGTAATTAACCCGAGTTCTAAAGTCAGTTTATTAGACTGAAAAAAAATTTAGGAAAAAAAAAAGGATACTTAATGGAAAATGAAAGAAAATTTAAAAACAGAAGATAATCGTCTAGGACTGACAATGAAAAGCAAACAAATAATGTGCAGTATTGAAAATTATAAAAATGGTAGCAGAATTGTAAAAATGATAGCAGAATTAATGTAAATATAAGAACAAACATTTCTCATGCATCACCTAGTAGGTGTATGAGAATTCATTCACAACAAAAGATTAAC